AGGCGTGAGCAACTGTGACCCACTGGATTCAGTTTTGAATCTACCAAAACACAGAGTGCACTGCACACCATACTCAAACATTTGTTGAATCAGTTTTACCAGTGTCTTCAATTTATCAGATATTGTTGCATCTGCACCTTTTTAAGAGTAAACTCAAAACATATTTTCAGATGACATCAAACCTTTTATTGTTCAAGCTAATAACGCCAAGGTATCGCCCTACATTTCTGTTCCTCTCTAATTACCTTATTTTAGCCAAAACTATTTAGACATGGACCTAACAGTGGTTGATCCCATGTCCTTAGATGGTTTTGTACTTTTCTTTTACTATTAAAAGATATTTCCCATTATATCAAAATCCACTGCTGTGCTCTCAGTGGTTAAATTTGTCAGAAGCACGGCAGATAAATGGGGTATTAAGATGTTTTCACTGAGACTATAGAAACCAAAGTATATGAAGTGGTGAATTAAAAAGGCACCAAAAGTAAAGATGTGAAGAAAGATAAATTAGCTCATGTAGGAGATCTATGGCAAAATCTTTTTTAGTGATAGAAGTAGTAAATGTCCTGAAGACAGGAACCAGGACCTGAGAATTAAATATTAATTATAGAAAAGATAGTATGGGAACATCAGAATTCAATAAAGAAAACATTTTTTATAAGAAAGTTAATATATCAAATGCAGCTGAATATCCACAGCTTTATCCACAGCTTTGGATTTTTGGATTACTTTAGTACTTCAGTTACTTCACTGGTTTACTTCGGTCATTTCAGGGTAAAGACTAAGTATGTAAAACCAAAAGGTCCCTCAACTATTATGTATGGCAGAAGCAATCCAAAATTTGTTTCTTCCAAGTACCACAAGAACTGTGGAGACAGAAGAAAGAATGGGGCAGGGCAAGTAGTTCTTGCTTTAGCCTCTGGACTGCTGTTTTACCCCAAGGAGTTCCCTTTTTACAGGCTTTACACTTTGGATTTCTGAATATTATTTTGTTCAAAGGGTTCTACTGATAAAAATACAAATCTAAATATCACTGATTTAGACCATTAGACCTAGAGTTAATGGGTTGTTCATCACGTTTGAGAAAGTTGTAAACTAATAGATAGCTACTTTTTTTTTTTTTTTTTGAGATGGAGTCTCACTCTGTCACCCAGGCTGGAGTGCAGTGGCACAATCTTGGCTCACTGCAACCTCTGCCTCCCAGGTTCTCCTGCCTCAGCCCCTTGAGTAGCTGGGATTACAGGCACGTGCCACCATGCCCAGGTAATTAGGGTTTCACCATGTTGGTTAGGCTGGTCTCGAATCCCTGACCTTGTGATCTCCTGCTTTAGCCTCCCAAAGTGCTGGGACTACAGGCCTGAGCTACCACACTCGGCCAGATAGCTGTTTTGCTTTGTTTTGTTTGAGACAGGGTCTCACGACATCTGTCACCCAGGCTGGAATGCAGCGGCACGACCTTGGCTCACTGCACTACGCCTCCCGGGTTCAAATGATTCTCATGCCTTGGCCTCCCAAGTAGCTGGGACTACAGGCATGTGCCACCATGACTGGCTAATTTTTGCATTTTTTAGTAGATGTGGAGTTTTGCCATGTTGCCCAGGCTGGTCTGGAACTTCTGGTCTCTAGCAATCCACCTGCCTTGGACCCCTAAAGAGCTAGGATTATAGGTGTGAATTACCAGCCAGATAGCTATTTTGTAGCCACTGGTCGCTAGAGGAACAGAATGGTGCAGGCAGTATGCTGCTGTGGAAATTAAGAGGCTAATACTGCTCTAATTGGGCCAGCCATTTAATTTCTCTGAACCTCAAGTACTTTGTTTCTAAAATTAAGGGGTCTTTTTTACTCAATATCAAGGTCCTTAACACATTAAGATACTCTTAATAGGCGTATAGTCAGTATGGCGGCACGCCTAGAAGACGCGGCCTTTAAGAATGTTGTCATATGGTCACTATGATAAATACTATTACAAGCATGTGACAGTGTTTAACAAAATGAATAGTAAAAAAGTAGAATAACTTTTCAGAGATAGGCAAATAAAATACCATATTAACAAACAGTCCTAGGAAACTTGTTAGCACATGTTCTTCTGAAAAGTTTCCAGTCTGGGAATTGGATGGGCCGGGTGGCTCATGCCTATAATCCCAGCACATTAAGGCTGAGGTGGGCAGATCACTTGAGATCAGAAGTTTGAGACCAGCCTAGGCAACACGGTGAAACCCCGGCTCTACTAAAATACAACAATTACCTAGGCGTGGTGGCACATGTCTGTAATCCTAGCTACTCTGGAGGTGGAAGCTGAGGCACTAGGATCACTTGAACCTGGGAGACAGAGGTTGCAGTTAGCCAAGATTGCACCACTGCACTCCAGCCTGGGTCAAAGAATGAGACTATCTCAAAATAAAGATAAAATGAAAAGTTACTAGTCTGGGAATGAAAGGGATCACTTTAGACATTCAAAGATGCAGACCTTCAGAAAGTCAAAGTCCAGCATGAACCTTTTAAACAGGAAAAATCTTAATGACCTCACTTGCAAAAATCCAGCCAATATTAACCTTAATCCTATTAAGGTCCTGGATTTTGCCTGAATTTTCTAATTTCCCAATCATCTAATCAGTGTATACGGTAGGAAAGAAGGTATTCCAGATTCTTAATCCAAATTTCTATTCCTTTAATAACATCCGTTCTGTTGAAACATCATCTGTATCACTCAAGAACAATTTTAACTCTGTGTGGTTTGCCTGGGTTGTGTTCTGTAATAATATTCTCAACTGTTACACTAGTCCAGACAAACTTATGTAACTCCCCAAGATTCACAATCAAGAAGTTGCTGCTATCTGGAGGACATGCCAACATTACAGTGAGCAGTCAATCAGCAGTTCCACTAGGACAATGGAGTCTTATTTCTTATGCTCTGGGAACTTTATACTAGACTGCTAATCAGAGAAACCTTAAAGTTTTGTCAGGCCACAAAACGTTAAAGCAAATGGTTTTTCATTAATGATACACAGCTGATACAAATGTTAAACTTGGTGCCAATAGAAGGTTTAAGTTTTTCAAAATGGAAAATTAAAATGATTACATAGTAGAAAGTACTAGTTACAAATTTTTCCTTCTATGCCAGTGTATGGTTTTCACTTACCCCTCCCAGATCCTTAATGTCCTTTTGTAGTTTTTCAGATATGGTGACAGAAGGTAAGTCAAGGTAAAATACTTTTCCCCAAAGTGGTTTATATTTGGATTTTTCTGGTTTGTTATCAGTTTTCAGATATTTCAAAGATGGTCTGTTTTTTTCATTTTTGATTTGGATTCCACCTGCTATTGAAGATGTTGAGAATCAGATGTTTTACACAGACAACACTTTTACCATTTTAAAAATATTTCATTATACAGTAATATTACAGAAAAAAATCGTTACAATCCTACCAATTTTAAGTCATTAGCATTTAAATATATTTCTTTGTAGTTCTACTTAGGATAGAGACAAAATACTCTATATACTTTCACAGACTGTATATTGTTAAATAATACTTGACTCAGCAAGAAATATTCGTTTATTCCTGAAGCACGGAACTATATAAAACTCTTTTGAAAGATTTTCTTCTTTAAGATGCAAACTTCACAGGGGTATTTAATACTCAACTATTGAGCATCTGCCATTCTGCTGAACATTCAAAACTGGTGCTTAAACTTCATTTAGCAATGAGAGAAGCCTCTGTTACCCAGAATAACCTAGTCTTCAAGGGTTTCGGACTGCTCAAGTTTTAATTTCATGTGAAGTTTGTCTACATATTAGCTACTAAATGGGCCATTTCACATACAATTTGTCTATGTATTAAGAACTTAACGGTCCATTATGAAGAACTAAATCATTCATTTCATTATTTTCATTAAAAACTGATCTGTGATCCAAGCAACGCTTTATAAATTTTTAAAACGCAATCTGTTCTTAAATTGGTAGTTACTATACACACACAAACACCTGTTCAAAAAATTTAGGTGCTGGAATGTTTCACCATATAAAGTAATTGAAAATAAAAATTTGCTTTTGTTTCCTTGTTTGTAATGTTGAAACCAGCAAAGAGGTGTCTGCAATACAAATGCTTTCCCGCAACTTTATGAGTAAAGGAAAACAAACTTTTAAGAGTGAGACCAAAAATCCACTCACAATCACCCAATCTAATGCTGAAGAGAAAAGCCACGAGCGCGTCTGACTTTAAATTGAGGATGCAATCCGTCGCACCCAAGGGCCCGGGCGGAGGCGCAGCATCTGCGGGAGCCGGAGGAGACAGCGCCGCGGCAGACAGCGCCGCAGCCCCGGCGAGGTCCCGGATCTGCACATTGTTCGCTAGTTTTCAACCCAAGGCACGACTGGAAATAAATCTGGGACCGCCGCTGTAAAGGGCAGGGCGCGTGAGGGTCCGGGCCGGGATCCGTTCCTTCCCAGGCAAAACACTGATCTGAGACCCTTCCTTCAGACCCCAGAGGGCGGTCAGAAAATAAAAGCTGAGGACCTGGCGGGAGAACTCTGAAGAATCAATGGTGGAACCACGAGGGGAGGAAAGGATTAAAGGGACTGCAGGCGGAGGAGGGGCTTCTTACCCTGGAAATGTCCTTTACTGTGGATCCTCATGGCTCCGGAGTTCATGGCAGCCGCCCGGCACCTACATGCTGGGTCCGGATAAAGTGTGGCGCCGGGCGGCCGCGAAAGCACGGCTTCCCCAAGCCAGTTGACAGGACAGCCGCCTCTCTCCTTCCGCCACCTACAGCCTCCACGCAGTAGAGGTACCACGTCTACGGGTCGAGTTTCCGGGGCCGGATCCGGCACCGAAGCGCGGAGGAGGAAGGCGCAAAGCACGAACGAGTGGGCTGCGGCGGTTGAAGATTTGAAAACGCGTCACGCGGCCGCGGCGCCTATACGCGCGCCCCGCCCCGTCTCACGCCGCGCGTCGTGCCCCGCCTCGCGCTCTCCCCACGTGCCCGCCTTCTCGCGTCGCGCGCCCCGCCCCCTCACGGCGGTATCGTCTGGTGTCTCGCTCCGCCCCCGCAGGATGTGTCTCCGCCTTTGCCCCGCCCCCATCCGGTGCCCTTTGACTTAGACGCCAGCTTTCAGTCCGCGGCTTCGGGTTGAGGCGCACTCCAGTGAGTAGGCAGAGCGCTATGTTGACCAAACCTAGTGGAAGCAATTAGCCCCGGAGGCCGGCCCAGCCCGTCACCAGGGTTATTCCCGCCTTCTAGGTTTGCCAGGACCGCCGGCCCTCCAGCTGCCTTCTCCCCCCGGTATGCTAATTTTTCACGGGTCGGACGTCGGGGATGCAAAAGGCGAGGGGCTTTGGCAGAGCCCAGACTCAGCTCAGGCCGCGGCCGCAGCCCCTGCTCAGCGCGCCCGGGGTCGCACAGCGAGCGGGGTTTTCCCGCTGTCACTGCTGACCTCGCCGGCTGAGGACAGGCTGCAGAGGGACTTGCGGGAGTCAGAGCGGCCCCCGGGGGCGTCGGAGGGAGGGTCGGTCCGGGAGGCCCCCAGCCCTGACGGCAGCGTCGCTCCGGGACGCGTCCAGGTAACTTTGTGCCCTTTGGTAAGTGGCTATTTGCGCTGCTCTGTTGGTTTTTATTGTGTCCAGACCCGTTTTCGTTAATTTTTAAGTTTATTTCAACAATAATAGAGTAGAAAGTGAAATCTCATTTTTTTATCTGTAAAACAGAGATTAAAGATCAAATAAAAATGCTTGTGAATATATTTTAATTTTATAAGTTGGAAAATGCCTCGCCAAAAAAGAAAAAAATTGTTTCTTCCGGAGAAAAAGGATATTTTGTACTATTTTGTATTTCTCAACTCCATGTCGTAATAGGCACTCATGTAATGGTTGATTTATTTACCTAGTAGCTCAAGGAAACCAGAGAGTGTCAACGTTAGCATTTTGCAAGTAGGTACCTCAAAAAATAGACAAGGGTGGGTTGTGACAACGTTAGCTGGAGAACACAGAAAACAGGTTTGCTAAGGGAAATGAGAGTCTGGTTTTAGATAGGTTTATGTTGAAGGGCCTGGGGCGACAATCATGAAACTATGTTTATAAGACAGTTAAATATGTTTATGACTAGAGAGAAACGTCTAGGAGAAGTGGACATGGGAAGGGAAAGTAGAGGTTGATTGGATATCTCTCAAATAAAATATTTCTACTTCTCAAGGTCTGTTGATGTCAATCATGGGGCAGTTCATAAGAGGTTAACAGATCTTGAGTGGTGGAAGGAAGTATAGTTTGAATAAACATACTCAATATTGTAATTTCTTTGGGAAAAAGAACTTATTTTCAAAATAAAAGCTACGGAGAGAGCACAAAGTGTTTACAGAAAAATTTAAAAAGTTGGGAAGCACTAATATAGAATGTAGTTAAAGCTTTGGGAGGAAATGAATTTGCCAAGGAGAGCATGTGAAATAAGATTATAAGCAGTGGTTGATAAAATAGTTTAAGAGATGGAGAAAATGCCACAGAATTGGAAAGAGACTGCAAACATTGGAATCATATGGGCTTCACTAACTACTTGGCCTCTGGATAATTTTGACCCTCAATTTTAATTTGTTAAAAAGGGGTGATACTTTTCAGGGATGTTGTGAGGATTAAACGGACATTTTTGAATGCTGAATACAGTGCGTGGCACAGAGGAGAGTTCTGTAATTACTATCATTCTATTGAACCTTTTTTATATTGTCCAATAATCAGGTTTGTTGGTAAGAGAATGGGATTTGTCTTTAAGATCTTGAAAATGTGCTTGAAAATAGTCCTTCAGATGAAGGGTAGACATTCAAGAAGTGAATGGTGGTAGGGTTATTTATGGTGAGAAACTTTAAGAGTTATATTAGGTAAAACTGGAGAACACTGAGCAGAATCGTGGTCTAATTAAATGAATATGTGGCTGTGAATCAAGAGAAATTAATTGTATTTATTACTTGCCCTAACCTTAACCGGTTTTATGACCTCGGGCAAATGTTAACCTTTCTGGCCTGGTGTGGTGGCTCACACCTGTAATCCCAGCACTTTGGGAGGCCGAGGTGGGTGGATCACGAGGTCAGGAGTTCAAGGAGCAGCCTGGCCAACATGGTGAAACCCCAGCTGTACTAAAAATAAAAAAATTAGCCAGGCATGGTGGCGTGCCAGCAACTCAGGAGGCTGAGGCAGGAGAATGGCCTGAACCCGGGAGGCAGAGGTTGCAGTGAGCTGAGATCGTGCCATTGCACTCCAGCCTGGGCAACAAAAGCGAGACTCCGCCCAAAAAAAAAAAAAAAAAGTTAACCTTTCTATGCTAGAATTTCCTTATATGTAAATGAAGATAATACTGATCAGTCTACTCCACAACTTTTTGTGATTATCAGACTAGACCTTATCTGATCTTTCAGATTACCTCACACATAGCCAAATAAAAATTTTTTATTCTAGAATGTAGACAAATTTGTAATACTTAACATTTTTTTTCTCTTTATTTTGCCTAAGCCTCTTCACCTGGCTAGGCAATTATTTTTTCCTGTCTATAGCAAACCTAGCTTAGATGCAGCCTTTATCTTCTGCTCATTTGGGTCTTGAATAATAATCATTCCTGTTTGATTCATTTGCCAGCTATATATGTTGTCTTCTGAAATGTGTTCTGTTTCTGTTTTTATTATTTATTTTTCACATTTCATTGTCTCACTATGCTGGTGAATTGAAGGGCCTAAGGTTGTATATGTGGTTAAATTCTTTGTTTTAGAGGCTAAATATATGAAAGGATAGGATTGGTTAGTTGCTGTGGTGCTGAAGTTAGTGTCTCAGGTGAATGTGTGCTGGGAAACGAGGGTAAATTCAGTATTATCAAGCCCTTCCAACACTTCCTAAGTGAAGGATCAAAATTGGAGATTCCGGGCAAGGTGACTCACACCTGTAATACCAGCACTTTTGGAGGCTGTGGTGGGAGGATCACTTGATCCCAGGAGTTTGAGACCAACCTGGGCAACATAGGGATACCCTGTCTCTACAGAAAGTGAAAAAAATTAGCCAGTAAGGGTGGTGCACACCAGTGGTCCCAGCTACTTGGAAGGCCAAGGTGGGAAGATCACTTGAGCCTAGGAGTCTAGCAGTGAGCTATTATTGGCCACTGTAGTTCAGAGTGAGACCTTGTTGCGGGGGTGGAGGGGGGGAACAAGAGACAAGACAGGAGGGTTCAAAATTTGGGAGTATTGGGAGTGGATGCCCTGAAACAATGTAATTCAGAGGCGACAATAGATCATGAACTAGTTTAGAGGTTATATCTTACATACTGAATTAAATTGTAGATTCCTTTAGGGGGGTATGACATACATATTTGGCCAGGCTATAAAATAATCTACCTGCCTGCCCCATTTCCTGCTTTCCTTCTGTATTGATTGAGCACTAACAATGTGCTATGCCCAGTGAAGCTTGTTTACTTTTATACCCATAGAAGGCTTATTGTATGAAATTTAAAAATTTTCAAACATTTATAATCCACATGCAATAAAGTACAGCCATTTTAAACGTTATATATCTTAATATCAATTGATGAATTCTAACAAATATGTATATCCATGTAATAAACACTAAAATGAAATTACAAAACATTTTGTCATCTCAGAAGAATGCTTAATTCTTTAGTCTTCCTTCCACCAGAAGTAATCAGTCTTCCGACTTTTATTATCATAGAATGGTTAATGGTTTTCCCTGTATTTCAGCATAATATAAATGGAGTCATATAATCTGTACATTTGGGGTTATAATTACTTTTCATATCTTTTTATGTTTTATGTTGTTACATGTATCAGTAGTTCCTTCTTTTTTATTGCTGAGTAGTGTTTCATTGTGTGACTATACCACAGTTTATCCATTCACCTGTTAATGGATATTTGGGTTATTTCTATTTTTCTGGCTGTTATGGGTAGTGCTGCTGTGAACATTCATACACAGGGCTTTTTTGGACATATATTTTTACTTCTTCCAGAATTGCTGTACATATGGTAACATAATATTTAACAGTATGAGAAATTATTGAAGTTCTTGATTCTCTTTTCAGTAATGTATGAAGCACAGTGTTATTTGCTGGGTGTGAACTGGGATCTCATATAGACTCAGTTTTTAAAATCCAGGTAAAATTCATATAAAATTTGCCATTGTAACCATTTTGAAGTGTAGTATTCAGTGGCTTCCAGTATACTAACAAAGTTGTGCAACCATCACCACTGTTTAATTCCAGAACATCTTCAATACAAGAAAAAGAAACCTCTTACCCATCAATTACTCATTCTCATTTCTCCTCTCTCCTCAGCCCCTGGTAACCACTGTTCTGCTTTGTCCCTATGCATTTGCCTATTCTGAACATTTAATAGAAATAGAATATGTGAGTTTTTTGTGTATGGCTTTTATTGAGCATAATGTTTTCAAGGCTCATCCATTGTGTAGCATGTGTCAGGTCTTCATTGATTTTTTACAGATGAATAAAATTCTCTTGTAGGGATATACCACATTTTGTTTATCCTTTCATCAGTTGAGAAACAGTTGGTTTCTTTTTATTTTTTAGCTATTAATAAAAATGCTCTGAACATTTGTGTACAAGTGTTTGTTAGACTATTATGTTTTCAGTTCTCTGGGATGTATACCTAGGATTATTGCTGAGAATTTCTGGGTCATATGATAATTCTGTGTTTAACGTTTTGAGAACTGCCAAACTATTTTCCACATGGCTGCAGCATTTTACATTCTCACTGGCAGTATAAAAGAGTTCCCATTTCTCTACATCCTTGTCAACACGTGTTATATTCTGTATTTTTAATTATAGCCTTCCTAGTGGATGTACAGTGGCATCTTTTTCTGGTTTTGATTTTCATTTCCCCAATGAGTTATGATGTTGAATACTTTTTTATGTGGTTATTGGCCATTAGTATATCTTCTTTAAATATTAGGTCTCTTGCCCCTTTTCTTGAGTTTATTTTTGTTGTTGTTTAGTTGCTAGTTCTTTTTATATTTTGGGTACTAGACCCTTATCAGATATATGATTTGCAAAAATTTTATTCTGTTCTATACCTGGTCTTTTCAATTTTTTGATAGTGTCCTTTGATACACAAACTTTTTGATAGAATCTAATTTTATTTTTTCTTTTGTTACTTGTTCTTTTGGTATTATGTCTAGGGTGCACTATTGCCAGATTCAAGATCATACAGATTTATTCTTGTAAGACTTATAAAAATGCTTGCATTTTTGTCCTTGACCTACTTTGATTTTTTTGTGTATGGTGCGAGTTGA